CCATTCGAAGCACGCCGGTTTTGAAAGTCAAACGAGCACGCTCGAAAGTTCGTTGAACTACGGCTGATGTGTTCCACAGGCTAAACCCGTTTTCACGACCGCGTTGCGAGGGATTTAGTAACGAATATCTCTTGCTTAATGGTTCTTATATCACTGATTACGCGGCACCTACCTACCGGTGGACCGTTTCAAGTCGGTAATCGAACGCCGGGCTTTCCGCCAATTCCGACAAGGCTGGACGCGTAACTCGCTGGCACTGGAGGCTTGCTTACACGCTTCCTTGCCAAAGTCCATCCTTTTAACACTCACGAGACGCTTCGAGACTTAATAGGAAAGAAATCTTATCTTTTTTGCAAGCATGTCGTGTCTTTTTCTCTCTCTTTTTGGGCAAGAGATGTTCTACATTTCTAAAGATTTTTATCTGGTAGAGTAGGTCCTTCTTTCTGTGTATTTTAAGTCACAACTTTGGTACAGGATGACATTTTTATGGGGTATGTGTAATTTATAGTTTACACGTTGACCCCTTAAGCTATGATTTTTTTCCTGACTTTGCATCTAAGCGTCCGGCATTTACCGTTTTAGTACTGTATCGGGTAACAAAAGCTAATCTGTTAGGGATTAATTACATTTAGCAATTCTCTGACTTAAAAATTAAAACGAATACACTATTTTTCTCACATCTTCACCAGAATTTCAGCTACGAGTCTGACACGTTGTCGTAGGTTAATGAGTTAACAACCAAAGGAATTGGTACACTCTGTGTTAGAAAAATTAATAATATAAAATTGAAGGATTGTTCGTTATGTCCAACAATACGGTGGAACAACATTTCTTTGAATAACACAATAGAAGATCATACTCCTACTCGTAATACACGCAAGAGAATGGGTACCATAATGGCGACTGAGAAAGCCTGACACCACGTTCAGTTAGAATAAAAGAAACACTCGTTCCACACACTCGAAACTATAATTTAATAAAAAAAAAAGCAGAAAAATCCGAAAGAATTGAATTTTCGTCCGATTGATCACTTGAATTCGATTGGCGATGCAAGTCACGGGAAGATTTAGTCGGGAGTAGGAAAAATTCGAACGCCATCGACCATTAAGGCCGGATAATGGCCAGGAGGGTTTTCGAAAAATCTGGCAACGATTGTCACGGTCGACTCGTGCCAGATTCCCACTTCAAACCTCTTCTGCATACGTGTGGAACATACACACACACACGTATTCTTGGTGAAGAGAGAAAGAGAGCTTACGTGTGAAGCGGGAGGAATCAATAGGCTCGTATTGTAGCGCGGTTTGCAAGCCGCCGGCGGAAACCTTACGTATTCAACAGTGAGTCACACTTCCAGGAACGTATCCCGCAGCCCTTCTCTTCTTCTCTCACCTACGACAATGTTCCCGGGGCATTGTTTTCTTCCCTCTCCGTTTTCGGCCAAAATCAAACGCTCCACCCTGCTGCCGGCCTCTCACTCTCTGTGTCGACGCTTCAACCCCATTTTTTCACCCCTTTTCAAACGCAATCACCGTGATTTCCA